CAATCTCAGTATATATACGTCGTAGAAACTTTTTATATCTCTCAAATGAATCCTATAAAAATTTGTTCACAATACTACATATTCAGTTCAACCACCAAACATTGCCGAACACTCCTTTTAATATTTTGAAAAGAGTGGAAGGGAATAGAAATAAAAAATTTTAAGTTTCAAGGCTGAAGAGAAAACTATTATAGAAAAAATTAGCAGAGGGTGGGAAGGGAGAAATAAAAGGTATAGTTTATCCATGGAAGTTTAGGAATAGGAACTGAATACTCGATTCAAACTCTTATTTTCTAATTCTTTTAATTTAGCGAACTAATTTTGCAGTATAACTGATTTAAAACTAGTAGTTATGCTAGATCAAAATGTTTAAGTTTAAAATATCAATGAAAATCATAATTTTGACAAGTGGTCAATTTTTTATTTAAAAGGTAAAAAAGATTTCTTGAATGTTTAGGTTTTCATAAATATGGTTTAATCAAAAGATTAATCAAAGATATTGTGATAAACAAATGTTAAGAAGTGACAATTTTCTCATCTCAGCTGAGAGACTTAATAAACATAAAAACTTACTAACCAACTTTTAAACCGAATAAATAAAACCCGCAAAAATAACCCTTAAAAAACATCCCTCAATACAATAAAAATAAAGACCCTTCAGAGAACATTACTGAAATTCAAACTGTTTCACTTTCCCACATTTACCCTGATTCTAGTCAACTCTTACCGATGATAAAGATGGAAGGATTGAGCACATATTTGTTCAGATTAAACCGATTATAGGAAAATATAGGAAAATGGGAAAATTTTCGTTTAATATATTTTTCAACCAGTTTATCCATTCTTTAACCGTATGGTAGAAGAGGGATATTTATAACAACATTTTACAGATAAGAAATATGTAGATATATTTTACAGATAAGAAATATGTAGATATATTTTACAGATAAGAAATATGTAGATATATTTTACAGATAAAAAATATGTAGATTTATTTTACAGATAAGAAATATGTAGATATATTTTACAGATAAGAAATATGTAGATATATTTTATAGATAAGAAAAATGTAGATATATTTTACAGATAAGAAATATGTAGATATACTTTACAGATAAGAAATATGTAGATATATTTTATAGATAAGAAATATGTAGATATATTTTAAAGATAAGAAATATGTAGATATATTTTACAGATAAGAAATATGTAGATATATTTTACAGATAAAAAATATGTAGATACATTTTAAATAGCAGCCCAGAAAGACTATCAACCCGAAAGCAAAAGTTTCTAAAAAAGGAAAAAAATTAGATTTGCTGTATCAATTTCAAATTTGCTGTATCAATTTCGAAATTTCTGTATTAATTTCGAATTTGCTGTATCAATTTCGAATTTGCTGTATCAATTTCGAATTTGCTGTATCAATTTCGAATTTGCTGTATCAATTTCGAATTGCCATCATCTAAAAGGCTTAACCTCAGAACATTTAAACCGCCGTGTACTACTTAATATCAACCGCCATTTTAAGCCTATTCATAATTTATTTTCCGTTTATTATTAGAAAATCATATTTTAATAGAAATAAATAAAGTTTTAATTTTCAATTCAAAAGAATCAAAGTTTGGTAAAGCTATAAATCTATCTAAATATCTATCCATAAATCTATCTATAAATCTAACTATCTATCTATCAATATATCAATCTATCAATCTATCAATCAATCTATCTATCTATCTATCTATCTATCTATCTATCTTTCTATCTATATATGTATCTAACTATCTATCTATCTATCTATCTATCTCTCTATCTCTCTATTTCTCTATCTATCTATCTATCAATATATCAATCTATCAATCTGTCTATCTATCTATCTATCTATCTATCAATATATCAATCTATCCATCTATCTTTCAATCAATCTATCAATCTATCTATCTATCTATCTATCTATCTATCTATCTATCAATCAATCTATCTATCTATCTTTCAATCAATCTATCTATCTATCTATAGATTTATAATATTCTACTTCAAGTGTTATTTCTTTTCAGAAAGAATTTTCAAAAAACGTATTCTTGAATCTTTCTGGTTTCTGTTGACTGAAATAATTTTAATCAGCCTGAATTAACATATGTAATTTCTTTCAGCCCACTGCACTGTAACATCAATAATGTGTTTGCTGCATATTAGAATATAAATCATCATGATTTTATCTTTATTATTCATGAATATTATCATTATAATTAGCAGATTATCATTATTATTATTATTCTTATTATTTGTGAATTAAGCTCTATTCTTCTCAATTGAATCATGTATAATTATCAGTACACTGGAGAAATCAAGGGGGGGGATGAATATAATAATATCGGAAGGGGGGGGGGCAGAATGGGNGCTGTATACTTATACAGTTAACTATACTAGCTGTATACTTATACAGTTAACTATACTAGCTGTATACTTATACAGTTAACTATACTAGCTGTATACTTATACAGTTAACTATACTAGCTGTATACTTATACAGTTAACTATACTAGCTGTATACTTATACAGTTAACTATACTAGCTGTATACTTATACAGTTAACTATACTAGCTGTATACTTATACAGTTAACTATACTAGCTGTATACTTATACAGTTAACTATACTAGCTGTATACTTATACAGTTAACTATACTAGCTGTATACTTATACAGTTAACTATACTAGCTGTATACTTATACAGTTAACTATACTAGCTGTATACTTATACAGTTAACTATACTAGCTGTATACTTATACAGTTAACTATACTAGCTGTATACTTATACAGTTAACTATACTAGCTGTATACTTATACAGTTAACTATACTAGCTTTATACGTATACAGTTAACCATCTAACTGTATACTTATACAGCTAACTATACTAGCTGTATTCGTATACAGTTAACCATCTAACTGTATACTTATACAGTTAACTATACTAGCTGTATTCGTATACAGTTAACCATCTAACTGTATTCTTGTACAGTTAACTAAACTAGCTGTATTCATACACAGTTAACCATCTAACTGTATTCTTGTACAGTTAACTATACTAGCTGTATTCGTACACAGTTAACCATCTAGCTGTTTACTTATACAGTTAACTATACTAGCTGTATTCGTACACAGTTAACCATCTAACTGTTTTCTTGTGCAGTTAACTATACTAGCTGTATTCGTATACAGTTAACCATCTAACTGTATTCTTGTGCAGTTAACTATACTAGCTGTATTCGTACACAGTTAACCATCTAGCTGTATACTTATACAGTTAACTATACTAGCTGTATTCGTATACAGTTAACCATCTAGCTGTATACTTATACAGTTAACTATCTAGCCGTATACTTATACAGTTAACTATCTAGCTGTAAACGGTCACAGTAAATTGTCTAGCTGTATACTGACCCAGTTAACTTTCTAGCTTTAAACTGTCACAGCTAACTTTCTAGCTCTAAACTGACACAATTAACTACATATATCTGACTGTAAATTGACAAAGTTAACTTTCTAGCTGTATACTGAATCCGTTATATATCTAGCTGCTAACTGTCACATTTAACTCTCTAGCTGTAAACTAATACAGCAAACGTTCTTGGTTAATTTTCTAGCTGTATGCAGATGCAGTTAACTCTATAGCTGTTTCTGTCACAGCTGACCTTCTAGCTGTATACAGACGTACAGTTAATTTTCTAGCTGTATACAGATACAGTTAACTTTCTAGCTGTTTTCTATCACAGCTGATTTTTTAGCTGTATTCAGACGTACAGTTAATTTTCTAGCTGTACACAGACACTGTAATCAATCTATCTGGATGTAAACTATAGTTAACTATATAGTTGGCTGTAAATTTACACAGTTAATTATAAACTGTACACTGACACAGTTATATATCTGGCTGTAAACTAACACAGTTATCTATCTGGCTGTAAACTGACAGTTATCTATCTGACTGTAAACTGACACAATTATCTATCTGGCTGTAAACTGACAGTTATCTATCTGGCTGTAAACTAACAGTTATCTATATAGATGGCTGTAAAGCCCCACTATTATTAATTTAATCTACCAACGGCAATTTATGACAATTAATTATAAATATTCCCTGTATTATGTTTCCAATTTGTTTTGCCTTTCATGCAAATAGAAAACTTTTTTGAGAGAAACAAAGTTCTTAAAAGTTTTAATTTTCAAGGATAGATAAATCAGCTGCACAGTTTTGTAAGCAAGTAGTGGCTTTTAAGTATCATTTCTTTTCACATTTTTTCACACATCTCTGAGCTGTGGCTCTACTAAAGTCAGTACACAAGAAACACTCTTTTTTACAATCCTATTTATTTTTTGGTTACTTTTTATTGATTGTGGATGATTTAAAATTTTAAGTGGAAAATAGGTTAATAGGTTGATTTTGATTTTACTTATCGAGTTTAATATTTTCAATTTTTTTTAAGAAAAAAAAAGATTCTCTGTAAGAATTCTTTGAAAAGGAATTGTGCCTTTTGCCACAAACTCTGATTTTCGACAACCTATTTCTTTGCAAAATGATAGTGTAAACCTTAGATATTTCAAGCATAGACTATTTGATCCAACAGAATTCATAATTTTGAAATATTCATGGTCTACAATATTGAGTTGCAAAGATATAGGAATCAGAAAATCAAAGTTTATGGCAGAGACTCAATTCCTTTCTCTATGTTATTTCTAAAGATGTGTTTATTTTGTCGATTTGGTTTTCTGATTCTAGCTTCTTCATTCTTCAATCTTATCAGGACTATATCTTATATGAAAATGTGTACTTCACGAAACACACCCTTGATATTCATATTTTGATATTTACTCTCAAAATACGGGTTTACAGATCATTAATGTCATAAAAAGTCGCTTTTACATGTCGAGTAAAGTAACGATAACTTTCCTAAATGTTAAAAATCTGACAATTATTTGAGGAAATTTTTGATACATCATGGCGTTAATAGAGGGTCTGAAAACATTTATGTTCGGTATGAACAATATGCTGAACAGTTAACCCTCCCCCTCTCACCCTCTCCGTTGTTGCTCTTTATGTTTAATTTCCTAAAAATTGTTTCCTAGAATTTTTTATTGCAGGAAAATGCAGTCCCGGATCTTTGCATTGATTGAGAATTTTCAACCTCCTTCTCACAATTTCATTTCAGGTCAAATTTGATTGGTTAAAAATATTCAAGGAAAGTTTACTTTTAATTTTTACATTTAGGTTTAAAATGTTTGAATATTTAAAATTAATATGTTTATAGAAGAAGAAAAAGAAGATGAAGATAACTCGGATGCAGAGTTTAATTGCGAACATATCAAGGTTTATAAGTTTCTATAATTTTTATTTAAGATTTATAAAAAAAAGTTTACCCTTTTAGTACATTTTTACTTACTTGTTTTAACAAATAATCAAAGAAATCCAAAATTTGTCTTTTTGTTTAGAATGAAATAATTGAAGATTTGCCAAGATATGGTTTCACCACTCTGGAATCCTTGGATCTTTTAGATAAGCAAGATAGTCTAGATGAGTTTGAATTTTCTTCTTACAATGGCGCGAGATGTCGAAGACGATCTTCTCACCAGTCTAAGGCTTCACGCGGTAGACGAGGATCCAAAGAAAACAAAGAAAACGCGGCACTGTGCGAGATACCGGAATCCGCGGGTTCCAAGGAAAATCGGGAAACCCGGGAATATAACGAGATTGTAGAAAGAGCAAAGTATATTGTGGATAAGGCTGTAAAGAACAGAAAGGTAAATTTTTATACTTAAATAAGAAACCCAACAAAATGTATGTTGCTAAAACCCCAATGAATATCATAATTAAATGACGAGAATATTTATGATGAATTAGGTATAAAGTTTAATTCGTTAAATAGAACTTGACAGACTACCATCCTTCAGCTCCCACGTATACAGTATCTACCCCATCATTTAGTTTCAAAACTAGAATAATTTATTATCTTAGCAACAATATTTAAAAATTTTCATCTATCATGTTCTAAAGCTTTATCCTAGATTTTCTTGAAAAGATTTTTTATCTAAAATTACAAAAGAAGATTTACATGACATGTAATAATTTTTAATAAAAAGGGCAGATTTCTTTTTTTAATTAAATGAATGATGCATTGCATATATGCAAAATGGTCCAGGTTTTTTTCTTTCATGAGGGACACTTTGTAATAGTGTCGAATTGTTTTAATTTAAGCGAATATTTTCATGTGTCCCATAGCCCCAATTGCATTTGCAATTGCATATTGGTGTCCCAAAGTCCTCATTTTACTTAATACCTCATGAGTGTCCATTACCCTTATTTTAGCTTATTTGTGCTCATTGCTCACATTTTAGTATCCCATTGTCCTCATTTAAATTGATATTACATTTAACCCAATATCCCAACTTTATTTATTTCGTTGGTTTAGGTTTTCATTATGTATGGGAAGGATGGCAGGGTTAGAAGATGTTTAAAGAGAAGAGGATGGTTGGAGAAACCATTTATCTTCTCCAGGTATAGTTTTATCAAGTAGAATGTTGTTTATCTATGATCTAAAAAGATCATAAATCTCTGTATTAATTTATCCTTAGCTCTATTTTTCTCAGTATTTTTAGCCTTTTCTTGATTCATTAATTAAGGTATCCTATTCTTGGACATTTTATCTTTAAATTTGTTAAACCCTATAACCGTGTACTACTGGATACATGGCTAGTTTAACCTAATATCCCTTTTCTTTTCTTCACCCATTCAACATGGTATAGATTGTAGACAATCCTTGGCAGGCATCTTTGTATCCTGGAATTAAGTAAATGCATTATAATTTTCTGTTTACCATTCTAAATACATATCTAGCTCTGTAGGCTCTATAAAGTAGTAATCATTTTTTGGATGTCCGAGTTTAACTCCGTGACCAATTTGCCTCAAATTTTGATTGGGATACATGGGAATCATTTTATGCTGGTCTTAGTATCCCTATATGTATACTCATACTATCCTGATTCCTGGTATACCCTTAGTATCTCTGTATATCCTGGATAACCGTGTACATTCTGAGTATCCTTTAATATCTCTTCATATCATGAGTTTTGAGTATTCTAGTTATATGTTAGCAATGACCACAGTATATCCTTATCCTCTAAAACCCTAAATATTCCTGAGAATTCCTGCATCCCTGTATACCCTGAATATCCCTGTATTGTATTGTACCCTGAGTAATGACTAAACCTGGAGTCTGGAGAAGATAAGAGAATTGATTTAACCAAAGATAAACTCTAAAATACTCTCTCTCTCTCTACTCACTATATACTCTAATCCTACATATAGATGAGTAACTCGGTAAATATACTTCCAAACCAAACCAAAAGCTAAACCACACAAACTTAATTGAAAACAAGGAAACAACTCTGACAAACCCTGGCAAACGAACATTATCAGACAATACTACTCGCAAACTTATCTCTTTAACCAACTTTACTTCACCAAGAACCAAAATTAAAGGAGCAAAAGTTATATACAACTTGATTATCTAAAAGTCTTGCAAACTTACTATTTTCCATTGTCCATACCGATTTATAATGAATGAATACCTAATAGGAATAAGAATTATATGTACGCTCATAGCACCTTCAGCTTCGGGTCATTTGAAGATTCGGACCGACATTTGGGCAGCTAGAGAAAGTTGTACACTGTACAGCTAGTATACTTTTTTATCGGAGCACGATAATTTGCTGTCAACTTACTTGCTATCAGCCTCGATTGCTACCATCTCACTTGCTATCAGCCTCGCTTGCTACCATCTCAGTTGCGAATACAGGAACGGACGCATAGCTGTAGCTGTTCTACAAAAGGAATCCAATCTTATTCTTGAAATCAGAAATGGAAACCCCCATGGGTCGGATATTATTGGCCAGCGTGTCCGAGAACTAGAAACCGAGCTTGTGAAGGCTGCAGCAACAGTCTGTCAAGCAAGGAAGAAACGTGTAAATGAGGAACTGAGGAGAAAAGTTGAACAGATTTTCTGAAACTAGTATCTAGTATATTCAAAAGTAGAGCCGTGGCCCAGAAAACTAATAGAGAAAAAAGGAAGGATCAAAGTGTTAGTGAGCAACTCCCTGACTCTGGGATGGAGTTGATGCAGAAGAGATATCGAACAGGAAGTTGAGCCGAAACCTCCTTGTTATTCTTCTCTTATGACGCATTTACTCTGCTTGTATTATTACTGTACTCCCTGTTTCATTTTAAAAATTAATATGATTTGAAAAAAAAATATATAGACTGGTTTATGTATAGAAACTAAGAACTGGTTTTGATAGCAACTTATTTAGAAACAAAACTAATTTTGATAGCAACGTATATAGACAGTAACTAGTTTTGGATAGCAGATGAGCATTTATAGCAGTTGAGACTGGAGAGCAAACGTTTTGATAGCAAGTGAGGCCTGATAGCAAATTGACCTGATAGCAAGTGAGACTGGAGAGCAAATGGGACGAGAGCAAGTGAGGCCGAGAGCAAATGAAACAGATAGCAAGTGAATTGATAGCACGTGAATTGATAGCAAGTGAATTGATAGCAAATGAGTTGATAGCAAATGAGTTGATAGCAAATGAGTTGATAGCAAGTGAGTTGATAGCAAAGTATCGTGCTCCTTTTTATCTATGAAAAATGTTCACTTTGAGAGCCATGTCCAAAACTGCATCATCTAAGAAGTGTGCCGGGGAGCTAATCGAAATGTGCTGATTCATTTCTACGAAAGTAATGTCTGATACACACTGCACATTATAATCATGTGCAATGTGCATTTTCCAACTTAGGCTGAAAAATTCTTAAAATATCCACGTAACAGATCTGATTCAAGTTTTACAAACATTTTTTTACAATAAAAAATAATAATGTAAACAGGAAAGTAATACCAAGGAAAAAATAAACATATAAATACATATCAAATAAGCAAATAAACAAATAATTAAATAAACAAATTAATCTAATTAAATCAACTTCTCTTTCCTCTTCCTCCATTAAGCAAATTAACTCCCCCCGCCCTCCTCCCCGACAACAAGCAAACATTTCCGAAAATGAATGAGAAACCCTCGCCTCCTTCTCTAAAAAAAAATATTTGCTATATTAATTAAATGTTTGATTTTAAAAAAATGGTTGTATTATGCCCTGTATGTATCTGATAAGCCCACTATCATAAACTACTCTGTTTATCTATATGTGTGCACTGGGACTAGAGGAGGTGGAAAGAGAAAGGTTAGGGAACTGGAGAAGGTTATGAAAAGAAGAGACTGAAGGTAGAGGAAAGAGGTGAGGGGATTGGTAAAAGTTAAAGAAAAAGAGACAGGAGGTAGAGGAGAGAGATGAGAAGGCTGGAGAAGGTTAAGGAAAGAGAGGACTGGAGGTAGAGGAGAGAGGAGAGTGGGTTGGAGAAAGTTGAGGAAAGAAGGGGCTGAGGATAGAGAAGAGGGGAGAAGGCTGGAAAAGGTTAAGGAAAGATGGGGATCGAGGTAGAGGAGAGGGGAGAAGGCTAGAGAAGGTTGAGGAAAGAGGGGACAGGAGGTAGAGAAGGTTAAGGAAAGAAGGGGCTGGAGGTAGAGGATAGAGGGAAGGAGACTGGAGAAGGTTGAGGAAGGAAGAGGCTGGAGGTAGAGAAGATGGGAGAAGGCTGGAGAAGGTTGAGGAATTAAAGAAGAGACTGCAGGTAGAGGAGAGGGGGCTGGAGAAGGTTGAGGACAGAAGAAGCTGGAGGTAGAGAAGAGGGGAGAAGGCTAGGTTCACCCCTCCTAACTTTACCCTTTTCCCATCCCAAATCCCAGCAATATCTAACCCCTTCTTGTGTTATACTCCTATATATACTCCACTATCCCCACCCTATCTCCCTATCCTCCGTCTCTACAACCTCTTAATTATCAAGAATCCTTCCTCCTTTCTGTTTCAATTTTGGCGTATTTGGTAATATGTACTCTACAGAATCTGAAACTTTATAGGCACCTTACAAGTTTCCTGTTTTGATTTGATGTAATGCATACTATACTAGTTGCCTCGGATACTCATAGTTTACCGCACTTGGTCGTAAATAAAGATTTCAGCTATATTTCTTCCAAGTTCCTCAATAAAAATTTTAGCAAATCGACAAAGGGTTTCCTGACTTATGATCGGACATCTAAACAAACAAACAGAGATCACAACTTTATATATATATATATATATATTTATATATAGATACTGTTTACTGTACAGGTAATATGAGGTATCTACAGATTCTGGACAAATCAAATCAGAGACGTAAACAGAGATTTGTCCGGGGGGGGGGGTTAGGGGTTAACATTTTTGACTTTCCAAGGGGCTTATCAATAGCAAATCAAAAAAAGAGAAAAAGTTAAATTAGAAAACCTTGGATCCAACAAAATTATCCAATTAGCAAGATTTTGTTTTACCGACTTATTTTCCCAGTGATTCAGCAAAATAAGTTTTATTTGTTTTTGTTTTTAAACTTAAAGGTTGAGGCAAGGGGAAGCTCTCAATCTTATTATAATCAAACTTTTAATTCCGTTAAATAATTAGTTCATTTGATTTTCATATTTTAAAATTAAATCGATAAACTTAAATTAAAATTGCACGAAGTTGGGATAACTTTTGCAGATTTTTATATTCTTCATTTAAAAATTTGGTTACAATTGCTTTTTAGAAAATATTTATAAATAAAAAAGGCGTAGAGCTTCAGTGATATTTGGTAATAAAAAAACGTTTGTGGACTAAAGCATTTAAAGGAATCATGATGTAAAAATGTAACCCCTATATCTTTGTATAACCCTTTAATAGTTCAAACTTTGATTAATTGATCTAACAAAATTCATAATTTTAAAATATCTTAGGTCTACAACATTGGGTTGCAAAGAAATAGAAATTAAACAAATCAGAGTTTGAGGCAAAGACTTAATTACTGTAAGGACTTCAACAAATCAGGGCGAGCTGAAAAAAAATCATCAACCCTTAATTCTAGGGGAAGTAAATCATTTACGCCTGATGAGCCAAGAATATAAGATCTCTGATTGGTCATATCTTAAAATATTTCACAAATGAAAAATCAACTTTTCTCGTCTTAACTTATATTAACTCCGTCCAAAAATCTACAATCCTATGGTTCAGTTTCAGACCTGATATCTTAACCTAATTCTTTATTTATGGAACATGAAATATTGACACTTCTTTTTTTGTAAAGGGGGAGACTGTGAAAGGGAATAAGAGGGGTAAATTAAAGGGTTGGCTTGGCTTCTAAGAAATAATAGAACATTCCAGCTAGTGCATTATAGAAAACCAGTTTAACTTAACAAACTAGACTCTGGACCCAGCTTTACCTGAAAACTAATCTTTCTCTTTAAAAGTCAACCCAGAATTTAGAATTTTTAAATTAGGCTCGAGCTAAGAACATTCCCCTTGTTCAAGCTCCCAAACAAATCGGTGAAAGGGGTTTAAGAATTAGGATCGGAAATACAAACAGAGATTACTACTTAAATCTATACTATGCAGCTTGAAAACCCAGCTTTACCTGAAACTATTTTTCTCTGTATAAAATTCAATCTACTTAACTCAGAATTGTTAATACAACGTGGTTCTACCAAGCTCCCCAATACATATTTGAGGCAAATCTGTCAAGTGGTTTTAGAGTTGTGATTACAAACAGAAAAACAGAGATTACTACTTTAATATATGTACTAGAAAATATAAAGTCAACCTACTCTAATTAGAATTTGTATACCAAGCTTAGAACATTCCCGTGGTTTTACCGAGCTATTCAAACTTAAAGCAAAACTGCACTCACAGTATTTTAAAATTGTTAAACACTAACACAATAACTATGTACTATTGTACTAATGTTGCCAATTCGACACTGTGTGAAACCAATTTTTGTACAGGCTGTGTTGGTTCTAATAACTGAGATAGAATGCTGAAATTTTGCATGCCGCATTAATTGTGGTCATCTACAAAGATCAGGAAGAAAATTTGAGAAGGAAGGTCATTGACCTCCATGAACTCAGAAAATACGGGAAAATACCCCTTTTTCACACTTATTCAATTATTATAAGTTAATCAGACATGTTTTCATACTTTTTGCTACCACATAAGTCAAGCACTGATATAGACACATAAATCCGACCACCATTTTGACCTCCCTACGATAATGATCTCCAAAAATGGTCAAATTTTAAATCAATGAAGATAAGGTGTGTGAGTTATCAAATCATAGGTTTTTTGGTGTTATGATTCCATTCTGATACCCCTTTTTGACCTCAGATGATCCTACAAAATGTGCTTACCTCTGGAGGTTAAAATATGAAATCAATGAATATAAGTCATATGAGGTATCAAATCATAGGTTTTTTGGTTTCCGTTTCCATTCTGATAGCCATTTTTGACCTCAGATGATTCTGAAGGCATTTGACCACCAGATATCAATGACCTCTGGAGCCTTCTATCTCAATTATTAGGACCAAACGCAGCCTGAACAATATCTGGTGCCACAAAGTGTTGACTTTTTTTATGAATTAGAGCAGCGTGACATAGAATTGAACTGAACAGTATACAATATATAAAGAAAATATCTAGTATGAAGTAGAATGTTTTGAGTTGAGACACAAGATATATTGAATGTTTTAGAATAGAGTGTCCTTGTAATACTGGATATACTTCACCAACCACTAACTTGGTTTATTTAGACTTGTGTACTCTATTTCAATAAGTCCCCTGATACACTTGGGATCCTTTTACAAGATGGATTTATTAAAAGGGTGCTAGAAGATTTCCACAGTACTTTTCCTAAAAATAAAAACAAAATGAAATTTTATTTATTTATTTCTTTGCTTTGTTAAAGCATTTGATTTAATATCTGAAGTTTTCAAATTTTTAGATTACATTTACGTAAATAATTAATAATAATTGTTGACGTAATTTCAAATTGATCCTCCATTCTAAAAGTGGGAAGCACCCGAATCACGTAAAGAATCGTTAAATCCCAGTCTAAGCAAAAACGTTGAAGGTATTTGAAAATATTTAGATAATTTTCAACTGCCGTTTATTTCTGCAGCAGGGAGAAATAAGAAAAATGTCAAAATTTAACAATGTTTCATAAAAACGTTATTTTTCTCATTGTTACTTAGATGAAGGTTTAAAGGTTGTTGTTATAAATCGAGCATGCACCTCTTTCAATGGGATTCACTTAAATTATGTCTTTGAACTAAAATGAGTTATTGCCACAGACTCTTATTTTCTTTATCTGTTGTAGACCTTAGATATTTCAAACTAGAATTCTGTTAGATCAAATAATAAAGTTTGAAACATCAAAGCTTTACAATATCAGGTTACAAAAATATAGGGATAGGTTGCAAAGATATAGGTATGAGAAAATTTTAGTTTGTGGCAAGAACTCAAATCTTAAATTTAGAATTGGAAGATACACTGGTACTGGTCCAGTGAAGAAGGATGTAGATTTATCTTATCAAGGCACTTCGGGAGCTAATTTAGGAAATAATTCAAATTAATAAAAAAAAAGAATTCCTATAGTCCTACATACATCTATATATAAATTTGGCTTGTCTGTTTGTTTGTTTGTTTGTTTGTCTGTCTGTCTGTCTGTTTGTATCCAATAAACGTCAAAACGGCTGAACCGATCGGGCCCAAATTTTTTGTGGGACATCTAGGGACCCCAGGGAAGGTTTATGAATGATTGAAATTTTAAATATTTGTCTCAATCAAAATTCGATCTTCATTAAATTTTTTAAAATTTTGAAAATCCACGAAATTTTTTGTGAAAATCAGCGAATTATTTTTGTTTTGTTTTACGATGTACACAAAGAGAACATGTTCACAATTAATTTAGAAGATGGGCGCGAAGTGCCCTCTAAGGCTAGTTAAACAATATTTTAAATACAACAACAACTACAAACACACAACTTTTTCAAGTTAACATAAATCAATTCTATAAAAAAATCAAAAATAGTTTTTAATTTTTTTTCATAGTTGGAGAATATAGCCTAGAGTTAATTGCTTCCTGGATTTGACTCAATTGCAAAATAAAAAAATTACTCAGTCTGGCTTAATATGCAAATTCAAATAAATTTTGTTGGATACAAACAAACCAACTAACTAACTTGGATACAAACAAACCAACTAACTAACTTGGATACAAACAAACCAACTAACTAACTTGGATACAAACAAATAAACAAACTAACTTGGATACAAACAAACAAACTAACTAACTTGGATACAAACAAACCAACTAACTAACTTGGATACAAACAAACCAACTAACTAACTTGGATACAAACAAACAAACTAACTAACTTGGATACAAACAAACCAACTACCTAACTTGGATACAAACAAACCAACTAACTAACTTGGATACAAGGAAACCAACTAACTAACTTGGATACAAACAAACCAACTAACTAACTTGGATACAAACAAACCAACTAACTAACTTGGATACAAACCAACCAACTAACTAACTTAGTACAAGGAAACGGATGAGTATTCAAGTAATACTATTTATAGATTAAAATAGATATATATCTGGATGAGTATATGCCAAACAAAAATAGAAAACTTTTGTGCAACTTAAGTTTTGATATTTTTCATGCAGTTTATTTCAACTTATTCAAGCATATTTGTTTAAACCTCAAACTTTGTTTTTTTAACTTCAAGAGAACTTAATTAAAGAATTAATGTTAAAGTTTTGGCTGTGCATTGTTAAAAATGCATTTATTCGGAACATTAACTTTGAACTGAAATATATTCTCTGCATTTTATTCAGTTTTTACAAGGAATGAATCCAGCCCTCATAGGCTTAAGCACATTCAACTTTATATCAACGTATGCAGAGGAGGGGGGGGGGGTAATTAGGAGAACTTTATGTCAGGAAAAGAGGCCAAGTTTCTGATGGGGAATACAAAATAATTATTTGCAACTACTTGACAAGGAAGTTAAGGGAATTTTACTTTACCAAGGGTTCCCAAAACCAATTTTGCCTAAAAAACGTCTAAAGCCCAGGGAGGGATGTTTTGCGGGCAAAATTCATCGAGAGAACCCGGGGTTATGTAAAATTTTATAATTTCCCGAAAAAATAGTTGTACATATTTTTATCGTTTTTTGAGGTGAAAATGTATCAATTTGTTCAACGAAACTTTGCAGAGCGGGTCGTTATTTTACTTAATTGTCCCAATGAACGTTAACTAAATTAACGCCCCTCGGTTGGGGCAATCATTGATCGGTAATGTTAATCAAGAGACGGTAAAATAAATAAAAATATTAAAGGATTATGTTAATAGAAAAATGATCGAACTTACATCCAAATATTCGACAGTAAATTTAATTATTTTCGTAATGTTAAAAGGGAAATCAACAGATTTACATTTTATTAATTTGAAAACTTTCAGATACATTGGTCGAGAGATTTCTAGGCGGAGTCAGGTAAATACATACAAAGTTACACATTTTCCTTAAAAGAATTCAAACAAAACTTTCTTAAATATAATTTTCATTATTTACCTGAGGGTTTTAGGATAAAAAAAATGTACAGTGAGACCCATCAAAATTGTTGAATTGGAAAATTGTTATTAAGTAAATAGATGTAGTTTTTAGCTTGAAAATCAAGTGAAATGGGTCTGGGTACACTTTACAGTGTACAGTGTACTCTGTACCATTGTTATATTTCATGTTAATTGGAAAGTCGTCTTCCCTTTCAATAGTATTGGGGTCCCACTGTAATGAAATTCAAAGTGTACTTCGTATATTTTGCGTCCTTTGTTTATCTTTCCAAAAATAAACCGGTTCTCAGGAAAAATTTCATTTTAAAAGTTGAATTTTACAATAAAAATGCACTTTTAAACCCATTTTAAGATAATATCACAAAAAACATGCCATTTTTCTTTTCCTAGTCCTAACTTAGTCTGGTGTAATCAAAGAAATAAATTGGAATGGAAAAGATTGCGAAGAGACCAGCTAGGTAACAAAATAATAATAATCTTTTAAATTCAAATTTCTCAAGAAAATATTCATTTGGATTCAAACATCCACAATTCAACACGTCCGCAAAATTTAATTTAATTTTGCAAACTTTCTTAAATTCATAAAATTCCAAGTCGGCAAAGTTTAAAACTTTTTAAATTAACATATTCCATTTCGAAGTTGTCTAATTAATATAGATATAGTAAGCAGGAAGTTATGATTAAATTAATAGAAGGAAAGAAATATTTAACTAATTGAATTAATATTCATATTTTAGTCAATAAGTTCCCACATGCTCGGTTCACAACAAAGATAGGAATCCATTCTTGTTTGGAGAATCTATATTGGTTTACAAACTACTCGATGCATTCATTCTTCCCACGCTGTTATCAGGTTATACAGTACAAACTACTCGAACTCAATGATCACGTTCAGATATGCTAAAGGCGTCAGGCAGGGTTCAAAAATCAGGCGTATACGGTACAGTAACTGTCCAGGCCAAGTACAATTTTATCAGGTGAATATGGTACAATATTTGTAATTGGAACCGGGCCATGGTCCAAATATCAGAGGTGCAGAGTATGGTATATTAACGATAATCGAACCCGAGTAGGGTCCAAATCTCAGGCGCGTACAGTACAGTTGGAACCGGGCCGGGTCCAAATATTAGGCATGTACAAAACAGAAGAGTAAAATTCGGAGCTGTGCTGGCAGAACTATAATTACGTATAAATATTTATATATTTTCATATTGAAAATGTTGAATGGAGAAATTTAATCTGGAAATAAAGCCGGGATTTATCTTTTTATATATTTACAATAAAAGGATAAACACTGGGCTTAGTACACCGTAATTGTATTATACTCGTACATAGATGATATTTTTTCCAAAACGACCAAATTAGATTTGAAGTTTTTAAAGCTAAAATTAACCACATTTTTAAATCTTAACATTTTTGTTGGTTTTTCTAGTTTTACAGAGGGAAAAAGAGATCTGCATTTTAACCTATTTATTTCTGGTATTTTTGTGGAAAAAAAATAAAACATTTTTGTAACAATTAATCATTAATAAAACAAGGATTGCTGTTGCTTTTGATTTTAATTTTGAAGTTACTGGAACAAACCAATTTAAAAAAAAATTATAATTATGCATGTCATTTCAAGGCAGAGTTCATAATAGATAATAGACAGAACTTTAAGATTTATAAATTTTACATTCATTAGTTTCTCCTCAGGTTTTCATTGAGGAGGAAAGAAAGGCTTTCATAGAGGATTACAGGAACACTGCCTGCATTAACGTTGTCAAATGGTTCGTCAACTCGATTCAAGAACAGGTGCGGCAAACTGGAATATCAGAGATAATTCTAAATGATGTATTTTTACAAAGTTACAAATATAATCCCCTGTGATCGCTACTATTGTTTTTGTTCAAAACTCAAAAATGTGAAATTATAAATTTCTTGTTTCTTTTTTGTAAAAGAGCATGTTGATTTTCCAAAAACTGTTATTTTTTAATCCCTATATCTTTGCAAACTATGTAAACATCCTTTCATATTTCAAACTTTTCCAAAATTGATCTCACACAATTCACAGTTTTAATTTTTAAAAGTCTACGACATCAGGTTGTAAAGATTGTATAGAAAACTAGAATTTGAAGCACTTGATCAGTTTCTTTATAGTCAAATTATTAAGTATTTTTGTTAAAGCAAGATATAAAATAAAATGAATCGACAAAATATTTGGTTTTTATTGTTTATTTGTATAATATATCCTCCCTACTACAGGGAAACAAAGTTCCTGAGAGTAGAAATGGAAGGATTAGAAGAACTTTAATAGAGTTTAGTTTATCCAGGTTAGTTTATCATCTTTATAAAATCAGGTTTTTAACCTTACTGCAAACAAAACTGGACAATTCTNTCCGAGATAGTATGTTTTGCAGGATTTCCAATTTTTCAATTATTTCTTCCGATTGTTATTGTTCCAATACATTGCTCAGACGTTCCTATAATCTCTACATTTTTTCTCATTCATTAATTCATTCCTTCACCCTTTCATCCTTTATTCTTACAGTAATTCCTCCTTTCATTTATCCAAATACATAGCCTCATAGCTTACCATCTAGACCTAGCTATCTAGAACTTAGCAATATTTTGGTCTAACTACCTAGCTATCTAGAAGTAAGCAATATCTTGGTCTAGCCACCTAGCTATCTAGAACTCAGCAATATCTTGGTCTAACTATACCTAGCTATCTAACTATAGATAACTCCTACTCTTGGTCTAACTACCTAGCTATCTAGCAATAGATAACTATCCTGCTCTTGAACTACCTAGCTATCTAGCTATAGATAACTATCCTACTCTTGGTCTAATTACCTAGCTATCTAGCATTAGATAGCTATCCTATTTTTGAACTACCTAGCTATCTAGTAATACATAAATATCCTACTCTTGGTCTAACTACCTAACTATCTAGCATTAGATAATTATCCTATTCTTGAACTATCTAGCTATCTAGTAATACATAACTATCCTATTCTTGAACTACCTAGCTATATAGCAATAGATAACTATCCTATTCTTGAACTACCTAGCTATATAGCAATAGATAACTATCCTACTATTGGTCTAATTACCTAGCTATCTAGCATTAGATAACTATCCTACTATTGGTCTAATTACCTAGCTATCTAGCATTAGATAACTATCCTATTCTTGAACTACCTAGCTATCTAGCAATAGATAACTATCCTACTCTTGGTCTAACTGCCAAGCTAAACTTCTAAACTTCCATTTTAAAACTGAACTGTTTGTATCAAATGTTTGAATCCCGTGAGTAAGGATGAACTATGAATAGTAAATAGAAAAGATTGTTTTAAACTTTCAAAAGAGAAAGTTTTCTTTTATCTTTATACTCATCTTTAGAACATTGTCTCCGCTTTTTCTATTTGGAATGTTGCTTTTTTTATTTTCGCCCTTTTTTGTTGTTGTCTTATTTAGGCTTAGTTTTTGTCTCTTTCTACAATTTCCCATAATTTGAAAAAATCCATTTTTAAACAATTTATTTTATCAAATTTGTAAAATTTTAACATTTCTCCCTACATAAAAATTATTAAACATGCATTAAAGTTTCTGTATTGCGGAAACTCAAAAAAGTTGGTAAGAAAAAAGAAAAAGGAAAAATGACATTGTTATAAAAATTCTTATATATACCTATCTGAATCTATAAACTTCACTAACAAGAACACTTCTTCTATATCACTATCTTTTAGCATCAATATAAAGTGTAAATCTTAATAAAAAGAAATCTTTTAACTCTCAACACCACCATAATTTTGAACAGTGAAAGCAAACATTCAAGATAAAAACACAGCAACTAAAATCTCTATAATTGATTGGATATTTGTATGTTTTGTTTGACAACTTTTTAAGAGGAGAGTGGCACAATGAAAACCTAACTATAGCTCTTGGAGAATTTCAAATCCAAGCTGGTTGTCGCAAATAGATAAAAAATTCGTCACATGATTTGTTTAAATAAACCATGAATTTAAAACATGCAAAAAAAGACTAAAAGATTTTTATATCAAATAATCAGAAGTACAAAAGCCGCGGTTAATTATTGGATTGGTGTGAGGAGTGTGTAAAGTACAAATATATCAATGAATAGGTGTGAGGAGTATGTAAAGTACAAATATATCAATGAATAGGTGTGAGGAGTATGTAAAGTACAAATATATCAATGAATAGGTGTGAGGAGTATGTAAAGTACAAATATATCAATGAATAGGTTTGAGGAGTATGTAAAGTACAAATATACAAATATATCAATGAATAGGTGTGAGGAGTATGTAAAGTACAAATATATCAATGAATAGGTGTAAGGAGTATGTAAAGTACAAATATATCAATGAATAGGTGTGAGGAGTATGTAAAGTACAAAAATATCAATGAATAGGTGTGAGGAGTATGTAAAGTACAAGGAGAACCTGGATCTGGATTCTCCCCCTCCTCAGCTCTGGGAGCATCAGGGATATATATTGAACAACCAAAATGTCGAAATGAAATATATTTTGAATTAATAATTCTTTTAAAACTAATTAAAACCGTTGAACCTCTGAAAGTTGGGACTAACGTAAACAAAACCTAATTATCAAAAATTCCGGATATTGGATTATAGGGTTTCAAGGTTTGCAAACTAAATACTAGAGAAAAAGTGTCCACACCATTTTATTTTCATTTTGAATCCTTAATAATGGAGTTTACATTAAATTAATATGTTTGCCAGATGATGAAATGCAGGTTTTAGAATTATGAACACAATTGAGAAAAGTTATCTTAGCTATAAATGTTAGAGCAGTTTTTCATGTTTTCACACTGATCTTGTTCTGCGCCGGTTTATTTGAACGTTTAAATCCTCAGTTTAATCAGACGACAGTTGAAAGTACGAAAGTCGGTAAACTTTGGCCGGCGCTCAAAGGCCTATTCTTGTTAACCTTCAAGGTCTAAAAATAGTTTTTCAAAAGTGCTAAAAAAACTTTTTAGAAATTAAAATTTTCTTATTTATCTTGTATTAAGTTCATGTATCCTTTTAGTGGGAGCAGTTTCTCACTGAATACTATACATTAATACAAGGAGGAGCTAGAATACAGGTAAAAAACATTTTTTAGGATAAATTGGTAAAGATGAATTAAGAGAAAATTAAGAAATCCATTTTAAATGAATATTTTCATTTTTTCATTGATTTTTATCTTGCTAACCCGCTTGTATTTTTAAGAAGTGTGTACTGTGTATATGAAGGGTGTCCCAAAAAATATGGGAATTCAGTGAAGAATTCGATATCGTCTTTGTTATTCCATAACATTATTATGTCTGCTAGAGTTTATTTTTTGAAAAGGGTAAAACACTGCAAAGATGTGTCTATAATGTCTCCTCAAGATGAACAGTGAAGACGGACAAGTTTACTCTGTTTATATACTGTAATTTTCTTGTTTTACTAAGTACATCCGTATGTAGTCAAAACATAAACAAACAAAATGTGAACATAGCAGACGGATCTCTTTCAGATTACAGCTTTCTCAGTAGGTATCACTATACTAAATCAAAGAATTATTTAAAAAGACGATATCGAATTCGTCACTGAATTCCCATGTTTCTTGGGACACCCTGTAAAAGGATTTCAGAGCTTGCATATAAATTCAGATTTAAAGGATTATTTGCCAAAATCTTTATAGATTTTTGCAGCAAAATGTTTTGCTTATATTTTAGCCCATGTTGTTATTTTTAGGAGTACTACGAAGTTAACAAGAGAAGCGAAGAACTTTTAACTCATTCAAAACGAGTTTTAGAAAAATTAAGGGATATAGTCTTGTTCAATGAATCTTTTTTGCAGAAATGTCCTAAACTATTTTGTCTTGCTGTTTATTTATTTGAGTATATTCCCTTTATTTCAATTTCAATTCATTTTATAACAGGTTTAGTCTTTTCTCTGTTCTTTATTAAATCCTGTGCAGTGCATATAAATGATGCATATAAAACATAACAATAAAAATCTCTTTTAATGCAATTTTAAGACATTAAACAAAGTTTTCTTTCTTCTAATGTGTTTACTTTGTACATTTTGCACAAGCCGAAAATAGACAAACCGGATTCAAAAGTCATACACAAATTGAAAGCAATGATTTTGAATCTGAGGATTGGCCGACAAAGATTGTTTGGTAAAGTGAACTCCGGTAAAAGTTAACTCTATAATCAGTCATTTACTGATTTCAATGCAGTCATTGCATAGGGGACGACATTTTCCGTACATTGGAGCGCATCGAGGGCAATTTTGGTCGGGACTGAATATCGTCTTTAGAACTATGGCAATTCAATTATTCTTTAGCTCTCTAACCTTTTATCTTGACTGACAATACGTCTTCACCACAATATAAACAAAGATTTAATTAAACAATTAAATGGAACCTAAATACTTGTCATATTTTCAAATAAGAAGAAGGTTCTACGACAGGAAGGTGTGCCCCCAGTACGAGATGGACGGGGTCCTCAACCTCTGGATTATAAAGCCTGGTAGCTCAAGCAGGGGTCGGGGGATCAGTATTACCAACAAACTAGAAAGAATTCTAAGTAAGATCACATTTTTGACATTAAAAAAATATTAATAATAAAAGAAGTTGATNTGTACACACTACACACTCATGGTAAAGAAATCTTTTCTATAAATAGTAATTGATTTACCAAATAATCAGTCTGCCTGGTCAGTTGCAGTCTTATTCACATAAGAAGTTGATTTATTCATGAACGGTTTTAAAGAAAAATTAACGTTTACACATTCAAAAAGAACTTACAGATGTTGTGTTACAATTCAAAGAATAAAATATACAGTACATACAGTGATAACCAAAAAAAACAGTGAATTGAATGTTTATTTTATAAAAAAAAGTGGCCTAAATCATTTGCCGATATGAAATTTTAGCATTTGACCAACTGCTGGTCGTCTTATAATTCTCATTTTTTCTGGAGAGCTCTTCAAATAAATTAAAATGGGAACCATAAAACTACGGAGCATGAAGACGACATTTAAGCAATCTTATGTGTAATTGTCGTTGCTTTAAAGAAAATGCTATCATTTTAAGGTTAAAAGTAAACTTCAGGAAATTGGGTCTGTTTACACTGCACCATCGTTATGTTTCAAGTGCATTGGACTTTTTTCAATTATATCTTTTAGTGGAAACAGAGCCTTCTGGAATTGCATTACCTTCATATTTCAAGAAATACTGCACCACTAAATCAACCTCTTTTGTTAACAAGGACAAAGGCTCCTCAATTTTTTATCAAATATAAAGAACGATCCCTTTCTCCTCCAATTCTAAAATATGCCCAACTTTTTAGGGTTAAGAAAGCGAAAATAGCATTTTAACAAATTTGGATTCTACTCCAATAAATCTTCTCACTCCATTAACACTGCCATCGGTTGGTGGGGAAATTTTGTATCACAATTTATTCTTTTCTAGATTTAAAGAATCTACAATTCAAAATGCTAAATTTCATCCATATACAATATACGACTCATATAAAAATAATATATTTTACGGAAAATTCAAAAGTCCTTCCATCTGCTAAATAAACATATTAACTTGACACTCAGTCTCAGTATCTATCTTTTGTGCTGATTTTAAAGTTGTTTAAAATATCAAAACAATTTTTTGCTAATTTTAATTAATTTTTATTTTGAAAGCTTTTAATACTTTCAATAACTGAAAATGGAAAAAAATATCAAAAAAGTAGGTATACTTCTAATTGAAATTGTATTTTTGTTTATTCGCGATTTTGTAACTTGTGAATTTAAAATTTAACTTCTAACCGAAATTCTATTTTTTCATCCTGAAATCTTTGTAACTTGAAGGGACCGTTCACTTATTTGGGTAATTTCAGGGTAAACTAAACAGACTACTTGCTGTTGATTGGAAATAGTCTTAAATTCCAAAACAACTGTGGCCGGAAAAAAAAGCCGATTTTTCATTCAGAATTTGAGCGCAAAGGGACACTATTTGATGTTTTTTTCAGTAACGGTAGCCAATAAAATTTAAATCTCATTATGTGTTCGTTCGAATAGGCTGTTATTTTACCCTGAAATTACCCAAATAAGTGAACGGTCCCTTTAATGTTGTTTCCCTTTTTAATTTTAAAGTTAGATCATTCCATTTAAGTTTAATATATTAAAGGTTCACACGATCAGGCTGCAAAGATGTAAGGATAACAAAATAAGAGTTTTGAATGAGAAGTTTAAATGTTCAGAAACTTAATATAAGTAAAGTTTTCTAGAATTTTTAGATTTTGGTACAAAACAAAAGTTATGATTCAATATTGGAGTAACTCAGAATAATAAAATATTAAACAAAGATTTTGTTTAAAAATATTTATTTTCTACAAAATTGAGAAGCTTTCTTCTAATAATTTATGACTTTCGTAATATTTTAATTTAGTTGTTCTGTTATGCAGGTATGATAAATGGAAAGCAGTCTCGATATGTAGTACAGAAGTATATAGAAAGACCGATGCTAATCTACAACACTAAGTTTGATATTAGGTAAATATAATATGGCCCAATGTCCAGGGTATACCTATAACCCAGACTATTTTTAACCCCATGATCACCTATCATTTTCTTTTACTCATACTTCAATATATCCCTTATACAAAACCCCTCCAAGACTTTTCGGGTGGTTCGCAGCATTTTTTATTTCAAATATTAACTTTTACCTTTAACTGCTCCTTTGTTAGTCGCAATTTTTCATCGTACTCTCTTACAAACATCCACCCAAACAAGCAAAATATGAATTTACATTTTCTGCAGCTTTTCCATATCTTATACCCGACCCGGCCAGAAACCTTTTTCATGCCCCTTCTTTTAAAATCTCTGACCCTGCCCCCACCCTCTTGCATTCCAAGCATCCTACCCAGTTGTTTCCTCCTTCCCATATCCTATTCCTTGTCTTATGTCTCCCCGACTTTAATAATTGTTTGCTGACCCCTCCCTTCTTCCCCTAGACAGGTCTCCTTTATTCCACCCTTTTCTTACTCATCCTGATCATTATCCTTACCCCACCCCCTTATCCTCTCCCCCCCCCTACCTCCATTTCCTTGTTTACAGCTTAATGGTGTAATGCTCCATATCTTTATTATCAACTGCAATTTTACTGTTGAGTAGCTTCTGTAATTTCAGTTCATTAATGGGAGGGAGGAAGGGGGTAAAATACGATCAAACAATTAGTGCAAAGTAACGATACTACTATTGATGGACGTAAAATCAGTTCAATTTAAGTTAATGGTTGGGCAGATATAAAAGGTTTAAAGATGGTATTACCATAAAAGGGAACAACGAGGGGGGTTAATGTTGATGACCAAGGGGAAAACAAGATGATGGAGATCAACAGTGCGAAAAATAATCAAGTCCATAGGAAACTATGAAGAGGCTCTACTCTTCATTGTAAAATATAAAAAGTAAAGTAAACATATTTTTAGACAATGGGTTCTTGTTACTGACTGGAATCCACTTGTAATATGGCTCTACAAACCTTCTTATCTACGGTATATTTGTTGCTATTCACCAAGCAATAAAGGTCAAAAATACACTTTTTGTATGAAAGGCTTATTTCTAAATTGTTTATTAAATACAATAATAAGTAGGGATTTTTTCACATTTGGACTTGTGAAAAGCATTTGACTTAAGGGTGAAACTCTTATGACTAGATAAAAAAATAAGCTTTCTGGAAAAGCTAAAAAGATTCTTTGAAAAAATCAACATGTACTTCTACGGGAGTAAACCTACTTCATTACTTTCAAATGATGTGACTTAATGTAAAGAAAAGTAAATATCTGAGAATTATTATTATTTCTAGTATTCTCAAGGGATACAAGTTTACAACCGCTCTGGAACAATCCCAGAAATTGTTTTTTACATAACATTAATAAANCCCCTCCCTCATTCAGGAGTATGAAAGGGAGGGGGAAGGAATAGAGGGAGCATGCAAGTCAAATATTATAAATAAAATAGTTGTGTATACTTAATTATGCGTTAATTTTTGTCAATGTTATTTTACAACAAAGTACCCCTTCTTATAATACAAATTGTACCTTTACAGAAAAGATAATTGTAATGTCAATTACAGGAAATCGTTCAGAATGATTTATTTTTATTTGTTCTTAAATAAAAATGAAAGCAATGAAAGAAAGAAGGACAAAGGGGAGGGGGATAAAGGAATGGTGGTCTGATTATTATACAATATCGTGGCTTGGTTGAATTAACAATGTTTTTTTTCTATCAAAAAATATTAAATGTTTAAAATTCTAAAGAATATTGTGAAATACGAATACACAACTTTAAATACCCTAATTGTATGCATAATGTTAGTGCATTACGCATTATTCGCAAGGAAGAATTAAACTTTGTTAGGAATACCATAAATGTGTGAATTGCATTGCATAAAAACTAAAAAAAACTTACATTGTGCATCATTAATGAAATCGCCGTGAGTACTCATGTTTGTAACATTTTTTGCAATAATTTCGGAATCTTAGAAACATAGTTCCCAAAAAACAACGAACTTCACTTAAAACTGGAATCAGTCCCTTGAGAGAGGGAGTCTCTACTTTATTTTCTTATCGCAGCCTCTCAGTATCCGGTTCCATCCTGTTTTAATGTTTTGTTTACTCTCAAGATAAGATTATGGTGCAGGTTATTCAAGAAAAAGTTAAAAATAAATACGGTGCATTTTGGTGCGAGTAAAACAAAAATAAAAAAACAGCTTTTAAAGTAATAAAACGACCTTAGCCTTACTAATCTGGCAGTGTAAACCAATATGCATTATTTTGGTTGATTTCGATTGAAAAGGTGTCCAAAACATCTTTATGGTACATTAAGTACATTCATAAGCTTTCAGTGCGCTAAGTTTATGATGACAACCATCATTTTGTGACAGACTGCAGTAAACAAGTGAATGAAAACATTAAAGCCAAACCAGAACGATGATTTGAGAAAACAGAGAAAATTAACATTTCATACTTTTAAAAATAGGAGGAAAGGGTAAAAGGACAGGGGACAGGGGTGACCTGTAAATATATTTGTATTTGTTTTGGGAGAAATATTTCTGAATAATAAACAAACTGAAAGTAGAAACCCCTGGGGTTGCCTTTTCACTTGGTTTCTTTTAGATTTTATGATACACTAGCTTGGGAACCCTGCTTTTCCTGGAGTTTACCTATAAAAGTAAACCGAGTTTTACCCAGTACCCTAGTCAAAATTTGATCGGACATTCAAATATCCTACCAATACATAAATACCTGTTATTGGTAATTTGTTTAATGCAAAAACTTCAAAAATGCTGAATTAATAAGGCCCAAATATAAATATTTGGCAGTAGCTCATATGACCCCCGGGAAGGTTCATGCATGACCTATCAGAATTATGCCTAAAAATAAATTTTGTTTTTCTAATATTTTGGAAATTCGTTCGATGAAAAGAGGCAAATTTTCCAAATTTGATATTATTATTTTTTCAATATAAACCTAGAAAATATATAATACATATATAGTTACTTTAAATTGTACTGTTTATGACAGTTTAAAAGTTATAAAACATTTTTCATGGATTTACTGTACATTATAAATACAGTAAATGAAGTTATGGGGCCTCAGATGGTTTAAAAGTAATTTCACGATTTTTCCAAAAACTTCTTTTTGATCAAGCGATCATTATCTGAGAAGTACAATTTCTTGAATTTAAAGTCGTTAAAAACAGAAAAGAAAATTAAACATTCTTTAAATGTACAGCCATATTCTATTAAGGTTAAAGGGACCGTTCACTTATTTGGGTAATTTCGGGGTACATTAAATAGCTTATTAGCTATTAATTAGTATTGGTCTTACTTTTCAATGACTTCTATTTCTAACATAGCACTATTTTGAAAATTGAAAATTTTGTATTGTTTCTCTGTAAAAAGCTGAATAGAACGCGGCATGCACAATGAAAAGTTGTGCGTATACGGGAACGGGGTTATAAATTATAATTTGGTAGTTGATAATAAATTAGACAACTGAGTTAGGGGTGTCACCATCCGATAGGGGTTGGGGGGTTGGGCGGAACTAGGATTTTCGACTTTTCTGGCAACAACAGATATCGTTCGGAGAACTGACAGAAGCTATGTATGTCTGGATAGAACCGAATAGAGTTCTCCCATCTGGCTCCAAAATTTTTAAAAATAAACTATTTCGGATTACTCACAAATGCATCATTGCAAGTAAGATGTATACTTTATTTACATTGAACGCGGAGTTGAATCTACAAACCGAAATTGCATTATGATTAGTTGATTGTCGTAGAGAACGTCATCTTTGTATATACATTTTAAACGTTTTAATACGAAAAACGCAAATTTATTGCTTACTTAAATACCAAAAGCTTTCATATTTTAGTTTATACTAGCTAACACATAATGGCAATGAAATATGATAAATTAAAATTTTGTTTGGGCTGTTGTTGCTGAAAAACATCTAGTATAGTGTTTCAGACAAAGGGACCATCTTTTTCCGCTCGAATTCTGAACGATAAATCGGCTTTTTCTCCGCCCACAGTTGTCTTTGAAAAGTAAGAATGATGCCAATTAACAGCTAATAGGCTGTTTAGTTTATCATGAAATCACCCAAATAAGTGAACGGCCCCTTTTAGGTTAAAGGTAAAGATACTAAAACACAAATTTTATAATTAATTAAACAAGATTTTCCAATTTTTCTAAAACTATCAATGTCCTAGATTTTGTTCCCAGCCCTTCAAACTAGAAGATTTTCATGAGTCAATTCATCTCTGTAACAATGCAATTCAGGTATGTAGAAACTTTGGATCTGAATTGATATGAGAACTTTTACCCCTGAGCCCAAAACTTAAGACAGGGTATCGTTATGAAAACCCGCTTTGAAACCCGGGTTTCACAAATGGGGTTAGGCAGTTTTGTGGATATCAATATTTTTGTTATGAAATATTATTTTATTTAGTTTCTTCATTTTTGTCGAATCTCTTAAATCTAAATCTACAAAATGTTAATACCCCAAAAAGGAAACTCGGTAGTTTTGTTCAACGATACTCTTTTAAATTTCGGGCTCTGTCCTCCTTCCATGTGTATATAGATAGATAGATGGTCATGGTAATGTGATGGGGAGGGGGGAAAACAATTGTGAAAGATTTTTTTCGCAAACTTATTGATTTAAGGTTAAACAGAAAAAATCTTCATTAGACACAATTTGTGCTATTTAAGAAAATACATTTTTTTGGCTGGATATTTTGAACGAATGCTTTTTTTTAAATTTCTTGGATAGAAAAATAAATTTTACATTCATATGAGCTGATAATTATTTTCAAAATAAAGATAAAAATGGTATTTTTGTTATTTTTTTGTTTAGGCTAAGTATAAGAATGGTGAGAGATCAACAAAACTTCCAGATGATAACATGTGGGACAATACCACCTTCAGTTCATACCTTAGGTATTACATAAACTTAATTGGGGGAATAGTAACAACAAACATCGTGAAACAGCTCAAGAACTAATTTTAGAAATGTCTCTGATTTTCATACAAAAAAACGATTTCTCTGAGAGCTGTCCAGCAAGCACAGCATTCTCAGCACTTGCTTCAAATATAACCACGTATTTTCCCCAGACTTATCGTCTGCATACTAAAGTAAATTAACTTCAAACCGGTCACATTTAACTAAAAGTAAATTAACTTCAAACCGGTCACATTAAACTGAAGTAAATTAACTTTAAACCGGTCACATTAAACTGAAGTAAATTAACTTTAAACCGGTCACATTAAACTGAAGTAAATTAACTTGAAACCGGTCACATTAAACTGAAGTAAATTAACTTCAAACCGGTCACATTAAACTGAAGTAAATTAACTTTAAACTGGTCACATTAAATTGAAGTAAATTAACTTTAAACCGGTCACATTTAACTAAAGTAAATTAACTTCAAACCGGTCACATTTAACTAAAGTAAATTAACTTCAAACCAGTCACATTAAACTAAAGTAAATTAACTTTAAACCGGTCACATTAAACTAAAGTAAATTAACTTTAAACCGGTCACATTTAACTAAAGTAAATTGCATGTAAATTAGTGTTATCATTCTGTCTAGTTTGCAGGGGGTAAGGATCCGGGGACACTACACTCTTAGATTCTTGAGAAAATAAATATTTTTCTTTGACAAGAAATTGGTTAATTGGCCTCTGGAGACATATCAGTTGTTCTAAATTTTCTAGAAAATCTAATTATAATCGATTAAAATTCAACTAAAAACCAGTTATTAATTCACTGAATTCTATCCGAATTCTTTATTGTTGGAGTTTTATTTTCTTGGAATAATTATCTAATCTTTCATTTCAGTCAGAGTGGTTTGGAGAATAGTTGGGAGGAGATTATATATCCTAGCATTAAGAAGTGTCTCATAGGAATACACAATACAAAATAATAAATTCAATCTTAATCATAGACATTTCCATTACTAATGTATTTTGATTTCTCGATGTAGAATATCAATACTCGTATTCAGTCAAAAAAGAGAAAGATTTTTTTCTGCAAATTATCAAGGAAACGTTTTATTTTATCATTTTACATTTGTCACCGTGCACAGGGACATTAATATCAACTCAAGAGATGATGGACACGTGTACAAAGAAGAATTGTTTTGAACTTTATGGAGCAGATTTCATGCTCACCCCTGATCTAAAGGTAAGGAAACTAATCATTCAAAATCTAAAGATTTTAGTTGATTTAAAGGGACTGTATGCGTAATTTCAAGTGTCCCTTCATTCAAAGATGGCAACTGTCGTTAATTAATTCGACCCCCACCACCAATTTATACACATACATCTAAATATTTTTTTTTTATCTTACTGACAGAAACAATCTCAAGGAATAATAATTGTCTTAAACATTTTTTTTTAAAGTGAATATTTGCAAATTACCTTTTTTCCATCTCATAATCTGAGTTCGTTTCCCTTATGTCCATTTGACAGCCCAAATTTTCATTTTGCATAATCTTTTTGTTAGTTTATTTTCTTGTGGTTTTTAACAATTTTTTTCATTTTTTTTTGAGATTTTGATGGTTATTATATCGTTAGAACTGACGCACGTAGAATTAACTTATAGCTGTAAAATCATGCTTATCAGATTGGGTTTCTTTTTCTCAAATGGTAACTCTGGTATCATGACTCCGCCCTTAACAAAACCTGTGATTCTGCGTGGACGAGGGTCAACCCAGACCGAAATATATTTCCAATAAATGTGGAACTAATATCTACTTCTTTACTCTACAGATGTTTGGTCCATCACCATCACTTTATTTTAAATTTTATATATCAATGGTTTTGCTTCTGTAAAAGATTATTTTTATTTGTGGTTTCTCTACAAAAGGGATTTGCGCATTTCTTGCTTATGCAAAGCAAAGGAGAAAATCAGAGAAAGAAACTTTTTTCGAGTCAAAAAAAAAACGACGGTGCCTTCAACATTTATTTATCCGATTAAGGTTACAAGGGTACCATTTTAAATCGGACATTGCTATCTTTACATGGATATCACTTGAAAATACGCTAACAGTCTCTTTAAGAACAAGAATTATGACTAGACCAAAGAATGAGCTTAAAAATCATCCAAAAAAAAGAAGAAAAAAAGATTTGTAAAAACATTTCGTGATTTATCAATACCATTTTATTCGTATCTTACTCTACAGCATCTAACCTAGTTCTAGCAATCATAAACCAATGTTTCTTAAAAAAAATAACAAATATTGATTTAAAAAGTGAGTTCGTAACTGTATTAAATTTTTTAAGATTTAAAATCCCTTACTTCTAATAAAAACCTTTCCAGGCATAAAAGCATTTTTCTTTCACATAATTTATGTTTTTAAAGTTTGAATTAACTCTCAGAGTTGTGTAAAAGTTGTTGCCCACTGTTAACTTGTTTGTTGTAAACTCTGATAATTTTTGTTAAATACAAAGTGTTGCTAGTTTAATATAATGAGTAAAAAGGTTTTATTTAAACTTTTTTGTAAAAAAACTTTTTTTATGGAATTTAGATTATTGTTGAGAAAATATATCTGGAACAAAATCTAAAGAAATAAGTACTTGCCACAAACTCAAACTTTCTCATCCCTTTATCTTTGCACCTTGATGATCCTTGAAACCTTTGATAATTTTAAACTTTGACTATTTGATCTGGCAAAATTTAAAGCCTAAATATCAAAGGTCTTTGACATCAGTTTACAAAGATTTAAGTAATCATTTTCTTTTGAACATGAAAAAGTTCAGTTAAAATACTTGCAGCCTTGGCTGTTGGAGATCAACTCCTCCCCTGCCCTGGGACCAACCACTCATATCACTGCCAGACTTTGTGCCAATGTCCTAGATGATGTTATTAAGGTAAGTTCAGATTTGGCACATTGGAAAAATGGCAGGAAAAATACAAAGAAGGAAAAATACTTCAATATCTCACACCATTTATGGTCGGTTATTTTGCCTCCAAAATGTAAATAATCATTTATTTTTTCCCTGAAAAGAACTGAAAAATTTAGATAAATATCTCATTTTTTTATTTATTTCGTGTTTTTACTAATATCTAGTTCATGTAAAATCTCAAAAAAAATGGCTGAAAATGAAAAATGAACTGTGTTAGAGAAAAGTCGAAATTCCCCTTTGCAAGTTCCATTTAATTTCTATGAACTTTATGGATTAATCTACTTCAACTACTTTAAATGAAATACAATTTTAAATCCAAACAATTCTTTCTCTATCCTGTACCTGGCATTATTCAACTTTTAATAACAACTTAAACCCTTTTATATTCTGCAAACTTGAATATTAATGCAAATATTTCTGCTTTCATTAGTTTAGAAACATTATTGATCACATAACCTTGTAGGGATTAAAACGTACAATTTAAAGCAAAAAAATCTCTCTAATTTTTAAATCTGAATAAAACGATTTCAATCACTGCACTGTACGCATGTTTTGGTCCCGTCTCCTGATAGTTATTCTCCCCCCCCCCCCCACTGCTTCTGAAAACTCTTTTGATTATATATAAATTCTATATCAGCTTAGGTCAGCAGGAGAGGAGCGGGGGGGGGGGGTCCAGAGCACATTTCATAAGTATTACTTATTTCTTTCCGCTATTCCCTTAAAGCAAGGGCCTAAAAATAAAGTTTGTATTTAGATATAAACTTTTTGACCAGTAATTGATAAAACAAATCTAAATTAACTGTTCAGGTAACAGTTGACCGGATGCGTAATAAGAATGCGGATACTGGGGGATTCGAGTTGGTCTACAAGCAACCAACAATACCACACCCACAATACTCAGGGAAGGAGGATAAAATTCAATCATTAGATCTAAAGAAATAATCTCTGTTTGTTTATTGGTATGTCCGATCATAACTCAGGAACCCCTGGACCGATCTGTCTGAAATTTTGATTGGTTAACTCGGTAGAACCACGGAAATGTTCTTAGCTAGGTTGACAAATTCTAAGTAAAATAATTTTATATTTTTTGGTTAAGAAGTTTTTGCACGAATTTTGAACCCAATTTTTTAACAAGCTCAATTTAAAGTGGGATTTTCGTAGTGAAGTAAACAAATTTCTTATCCCATGAACTCAGTTTATTAGAAATGGGAATAATAGAGTTCACAGTTCTCTTCATTTCAAAGATACATTTCATGCAAAAGAATCTAATGTTGCTAAAAACGGCTTTCCTTTGTTAAAAATGATAAATTTCTTTTTGTTTTTCAATCTAGTTTTAAGCTTGGATCAACTTTATAATAATCAAATTCTTTAATTAGTTTTGAGTTCTCTATTTTTCTACTCAAGAATAAACTGAATGCAAAATGCAAGAGCTTCCAAACAATAGTCTATTTGTTAAGAATATTTTTCTGTGATTAATGAAAAACAAGAATAGTTGGATGGACAGAGCTGGGAACTTTAGAATGGTGGATATCAAGACTAATGCTTAATCCTCTCTTTTTCTTGATCTTAAGACTAACTTAATCTTGTACTTGTATCCTGAAAAGTGTATAAAATTCAACCAATTAGAGTCGCGTATCAGAAGCCGGTAAGTTTGAAATTTTGCGCACCATTTAAGATTAATATACAGAAACGGGAAGGACTCTGAATTTAAAAAACCGGTTTTTGATTTTTCTGTACTATATCCAAAAAAGAGTGGATTAAGCAAGAAATCAAAAGTGTCCACATTGGATATTCGGATTAAGCAGTCGGGACTAATGGTATCCCATTTTAAAGTTCCTAGCTCAGTGGTCATAAAACTTAAAATTATGCCATTTCAACTCTTAAGAAAACTAAAAAATAAATATGATTTCAGTTAAACGGGCTTACTTCATACGGTCTTAATTTGCTTGTCATGTGTGCATTTTGAGTTTATTGATTTTAGTTGCGTGAGAGCTGATACACTTTTCACGTTCTAAAAATGTCATGTTTGAGTACAACAAAATATTGTGTATGTACAATATTGTTTTAAAATATTACACAATGCTATGGCTGAATTTAAACATTTTATTTAAAACCATGGATAACACATTAAAATTAATTATCTAAAAATATGTTTCTCTGAAAAAATTAATTTAAGAACTACATCTGAAATCGGGATACATATAATCTCCTTTATAATAAATTTTATCTTTTTAACCTTTGTAGGGTTGAACTTCTCTGTTCAGGGTTCAAAATTACCTTCAGCTCCCAGGTCAGTAAATTTGAACTTATAAATGTTTACAAAAGATTTAGGTTCAACTTAGTTTACGTGTTTTAACAACTTCATGCTATTCATAAAAGGAATTGAGTCTTTGCCACAAACTCAAATTGTCATATCCCTTTATCTTGGCAATGTGATGGTACATGAAGAGCTTTGATATTTCTATCTAAGATAATTTTTTCTACGGTGGTAAGCGATTATAGAAAACCAATGAAGACAACTTTCTATTGTAATTTTAATTTATATCAAGCTTTTAAACAGCACAGATACAGAAAAAAACATGTAAACAGCTCCTCTTTAATTACATGTAAACTTGTATTTCGAAGAAAGCTTGTTAACAATTAAAACTTAAATAAAAAAGTCGTCTTAATAATTTTGATATTATCGCCTACCACCGTAACAGAATTCATAGTTCGAAATGTCTACGACAATGGGTTACAACGATATAGGGATTAGAAAATCAGAGCTTGTGACAGAACCTCATTCCTTTTACACCTTTAATTCCGAAAATGTGTTTACAGTGTCCAGATTTTATAAATAGTGAGACATCGTTTTCATAGTTTGACCCGACCCACAAGAGAAGTGGTTTAAAGCAACTGAGTTCTTGCTACAAACTCCGATTTTGAATTCCTATATATTTGCAACCTGATGTCGTAGACTTTTGATATTTCAAACCACGAATTGTCAGATCAAATAATCTCAGTTTGAAATAAAGAGTTTAGTTTACACCTTCAGGTTGCAAAGATATTGGTATTACAAATTTGAGTTTGTTGAAAATACTCCTTAATTATGTTGATTCTTAAAAGTGTGAATTGTATTAATGAACACGTACTTGCAGATTCAAACTTTTTCCTATTCTCACAAAAAGAATGAACATTGTTTTTTACTTGCATAAACTCAGATAAACCTGGTATTAGCCACATAAGATACATGGATATATTCTAATATCTTTTTGCTGTAATCAACATGAAACAAAGTCTAATTTGGGACTAAACTTAAGCTAATGTATAATACCTGTTTGTAGGAAATATTTTCTCCGATATATCTAATAAATTTCCTTACCAAAACTTTATTATAGTTTCTTACATAGTATTAATACGTTTTACATAATTCAAGCTTTTGTTTAAAGGGAGTGACCGGCAATGTATGGTGGTTGAACTGAGAATGTAGTATTGTGGAGACATTTTTTAGGATTTATTTGAGACATATAAAACGTTTTAATGATGTTTAATTAATGAGTTTGAGAGCAAAGTCAACGTTCAAATGGGTGGTTACGTTTTGAGAATCGATTTTTTTAAATTATTAAATAACGACGACAAAATGAAAATTAATCTATAGTAACTAATTAGATGTTAAGGAACATATTTCTCAATTGAAGTTTTCACATTTTCTGTAGATTTCCTACAATTCTTACTGAAAAAACGAGACATTGATTTTGAGAATCAGGTTTTTTAAAACCCGATCCTCAAAATCATCCCTCAAAAATGAACAATCTGGAATTTAAAGATTTAATTTGTGCTCTTGCTGAAAAAATATGCACATGAAACAACGTCTCTGAGGTCAAGTTTCCAAAAAAAAATTTCCAATGCTAAATTCTCAGTTCAACTATGCCATACATTGCCGGTTATATTCCCTGAAAGTAAAAAATTAGATACTCCAAGAAAATCTTTGCTGTGGGATACAGTCAAGAATTTTAAAAATGCAATTTAAAAACATATACCTTAGACAACTGCACACAATGTTTTGTCAATCATGTAAATTTTCATCGTAATCATACGAAAGGGGGTATATTTGTTTGGACGGTCCCGTTTTTGCCATAGTAATCTTATTCTTTGATTATTCACATTTCACATATCTACATAGTTTAATGAACTTGACTAATCTTATATCTAACTTCTCCAGGTCTGAGAGAATGCTTATCCAGGACGGATTACAGTACTATAGTTCGAGTAAACTCAGGATATCTCCAACCAATGATAATCTTCAGGAACCAGCCTTATCCACCCAAACCTACTTCAAGCAGATTTTAGGTTTTTTTAGAACTTTTTAACAGTTCTCCAATGATGTTTAGTCTACGGTTATAACAGTACAATATGTAGATGAAATCAATTTTCATTAAAATTATCCTTAAAATGAAATAAAAACTAAAAATTATCTTTATTGAGTTTAAAAGGACTGTAAAGGAAAATGAACGGGGGTATAGGAGGAAGAGAATCTCAGGCGTTGAACGATACATATAAGACATTTATCTGATGTTCCTGTCTCGAGAAAATGATATAAATATACAATTTTGTATTAAAGTAGTAGGTTTAAACAGATCATATTCAGCAAATACGCAACCAATTTAAAAACGATTATATCTCACAGGATCCTAAGAATCTAAGGTTTGCTCATACTATATTTTTTTTGCATTTTGAAAAGTAATAATTGATAATATTGTTTTATATAGTCCGTATTACGTCACCAGAACTTCAGCCAATGGCAGTGCTTCAGTATCGTTGTCACATAAGCTCCATGTACCATGGAATATAGGAGCCCACCAACATTATATTCATCAATCTAATCTTCTCACACAGAATCACGTTAATACCATTTCTGAGTGGACAAGGAGCAATAAAATTAAACTAAACTCTGTTAAATCCAACTACATAATATTTACCCGGAGATATGGTTCACTCTGTACGAGGCTGAACCTAGATAGTAATATTTTGGAAAAGGTGTCAGCAACCAAACTTCTAGGTATGGATAAGTGAAGATTTAGATTGGGAATTAAATACTTCAGAGTTGTGCAAAAAGGTATATTCTCGAATATCCTTGCTGTGCAAATTAAAATATGTTGGTATGTCCACTCAGGATCTACTCAAAACTTTTTTATCGTTCCTACTGGAGTATGCCTGTGTGGTCTGACACTCCAAACTAACGGTCAACCAGACTTGTGCACTCGAACGAATGCAGAAAACGTGCCTTAGGGTAATACTTGGTCGAGAATATTGAGAATATATGAGTCTGCACTTGAAGTGTATAACCTTGAAACACTTGAAGTTCCTCGAGAAAAACTCTGTCTATCGTTTTGGGAAAAATGTCTGTTAAGGTCAAACCACAGATCCCTGTTTCCTAGAAATATTCCTCTCCACAACTATAACCATAGAGAACAGAATTTGTTCACAGTTGTTCAAGCCAGGACGGAGAGGTTATTGAGATCATGTATATCTTATATCCAAAGATTACTGAATAGTAAAAGATAATATGACAAATTTAAAATGTATAATCTTATTTTATATGAATGTAATCATCGGATTTTTATCATAATAAACGTGACCAGTATACTGCACTGCCATTTGGCTAAAGCTCTGGTGACGGCTCCTGTGGGATAAAATCGTTTTTAAATTGATTGCGTATTTGCTGAATATGATATGTTTAAACCTATTTCTTTTATACAAAATTGTATATATATATATATATATATATATAATTTGACACAGTTTTATATCATTTTCTCGAGACAGGAACATCAGATAGATGTCTTATATGCATCGTTCAATGCCTGAGATTCTCAGGTTTCCTCCTATACCCCCTTTCATTTTTCCTTTACATTCCCTTTAATACCGTTTCAAAGATCAAAAACAGTAATGGTTACTTTGAATTGACTATGAACTATGAAGAATGATTGGTGACTAATTTAAAAGAAGTTTTCTTTTACTAATAATTTATTCAAAATAAATTCAATCAGAGGCTCTGGGAACTTTTGTTTTGGATATTCATAACTCTGATCCTTTGATCTCGATATCCACTGTGGCCACTTTTTATTTGAGGATCAAGCAGTGAAATAAATATCCACAATACACGAGTTACAGCTCTGGTGTTAAAGCTGCTGTGATGTAAAGGCCCTGTTTGCTGAAGCGGAGATGTTAACGCGAGGGAATAGTAATGGGAACCCCAGGATGGTCGAACTTATTGATACTATTATGTCAATCCCATCATGTCTGCAGGACCAAGAGTCTAAAATCCAGGTAACAATACAAAAATGTGATTTGCTTGTCAAACCCCCANTGTTAGAATACCAAACTATATATCTACTCTCTTGTTAGAATACCAAACTATATATCTACTCTCTTGTTAGAATACCAAACTATATATCTACTCTCTTGTTAGAATACCAAACTCTATATCTACTCTCTTGTTAGAATACCAAACTACATATCTACTCTCTTGTTAGAATACCAAACTTTATATCTACTCTCTTGTTAGAATACCAAACTACATATCTACTCTCTTGTCAGAATACCAAACTCTATATTTACTCTCTTGTTAGAATACCAAACTACATATCTACTCTCTTGTCAGAATACCAAACTATAAATCTACTCTCTTGTTAGAATACCAAACTATATATCTACTCTCTTGCTTAGAATGCCAAACTATAAATCTCCTCTCTTGTTAGAATACCAAACTATATATCTACTCTCTTGTTAGAATACCAAACTATATATCTACTCTCTTGTTAGAATATCAAACTATATATCTACTCTCTTGTTAGAATACCAAACTATATAATATATATCTACTCTCTGTTTAGAATACCAAGCTATATATCTACTCTCTTGTTAGAATGCCAAACTATATATCTACTCTCTTGTCAGAATACCAAACTATAAATCTACTCTCTTGTTAGAATACCGAACTATATATCTACTCTCGTTAGAATACCAAATATATATCTACTTTCTCTTGTTAGAATATCAAACTTTATATCTACTCTCTTGTTAGAATACCAAACTATATATCTATTCTCTTGGTAGAATACCAAACTTTATATCTACTCTCTTGTTAGAATACCAAACTATATAATACACATCTACTCTCTGTTTAGAATACCAAACTATATATCTACTCTCTTGTTAGAATGCCAAACTATATATCTACTCTCTTGTTAGAATACCAAACTATATATCTATTCTCTTGGTAGAATACCAAACTCTATATCTACTCTCTTGTTAGAATACCAAACTATATATCTACTCTCTTGTTAGAATACCAAAACAATCGAGTTGCTGTCCCTGATTCATGAGTTTTTTCTTAAGCTATTGATCTATGAATGTCAAAAATCAATCTTTAGATTTTTATGTCATTAACTTACATTAGTTGCTTTTTATCCATTAACTAATATGTAAAAGATTTTTTTTATGAATTGAGACGAAACCTAATGATATTATAGTATATTATACCATATGCTTACTTTTAAACATTTTTTTATTATCTCTTGAACTCCTAGTAAACTCTTAGAAGCAATCAAGCTGAAAGAATTGAGGAACACATTTATTTTTCCAGCAATCAATTTCCAATGCTCTTTTATGAAAGAAAGTATTAAGTAAATTATTCTATTTACCCCCCCCCCCTTTCTTGGTATAGGTTTTCTATATAATACAAAGCTGAACATTCACAATATTAAATATATATAGGATAGAATATTCAGATTCAGAGAGTTTGCAACTAACCTGATATTTTATATGTACAAGTTCTAGATTATTAGATTGTCAGAAGATATTTTACTAATGTTCTGAGATATTATATGTACAAGTTCTAGATTATTAGATTGTTAGAAGATATTTTACTAATGTTCTGAGATATTATATGTACAAGTTCTA